ACTGGCTTGGTTTATTATCTTCATGCAATGGCAACTCTAAATAATATCTGTGATAAAAAGGCTCCTCCTGTCAGGGGCTGACAGCTCCCATCACCTGTCTTGGGACACCACCAGCCCAAAGGAAACTGGTCCACAGTCAGTCTCTGGGTCTGTACTTGGCATCACCCAACACTCAGCCATTAGAAACCTTAATTGCAGATACCTTTTCTCCCCCTGCCTCCAAGTCTCACCAAAAACTCTAATATAAAACACAATAGTAGGTCTACTGTGTGGTTAAGAGCAAACTCTGGGTTCAAATCCCAGCCTCCCCACTTAACAGATACATGAAAGTTATTTAACTTCTCTGTGCCTCACTCTTCTCATTATGAAATGGTGATAGTGCAGTAAGTACTTCATAATGCTCTTACAAAGATTAAATTAAGAGTTAAAATGGTACAGTGCATATAACTATGCCTGGCATAGACCACATCCACTATAACTCCCAGGGAGGAAGGGAACTGATCTCCTACTGCAAATCTGCCTGGCCCTGCTTCTAGATGAGTGCCCAGAAACAGAGAAGGCTCCCTTCCCTCTTATTCAAAAAAGCCTGCAGACCAAGATGTCCCAAGCACCAAGACGTCCCAGATGCTTTCAAATGTTATTGATATGAAAGAAAAGGGAGGTGTCCAAATCGTACACTAGATCCAGGAATTCCTTCACACTAATCTAGAGTACTTTACCCCCGACCCCCCACACCCCCCTTCCTGTTTCATCCACATAAGTAAGCACCTGCTCACCCACACCTCAGGGAGGGCTGATTTCTAGCCACCCAGTGGTACCAGGGCCTTGGCTGCTTCCTGACACCCTTCTGAGGACACATGATGGGCTCTCGGGTACCAGACCTGCAAGAAGCAGCCCTGTCCCAGCCACACGGGAAGGAGGTGGGAAAGCAGGGAAGGGCCAAGCCCCTCAGGTCAAACTGTAGCCCCATTAGGTGCCATTAACCCCTGACTTTCTATAGCTTACCACTAAGCTGGCAAAAACTTTTTTAACTCTTAGAAACTTATACTTTTCCTCAGCCCAATAGTATAAATATCACCCCGTTCCTGGGGTGCCCCCCAGTTAAAAATTACTGTAACTTAATCTCTAAACTTATCAAGTTGTATACAGTAAACATACAGCTTTATATATGACAATCATACCTCAAAAAAGTGGTTTTTAAAAATTACTGTAACTTAGTATTGCCTTGTACAGTTAGCTGTCCCCCTCAATATCTTAGGAGGATTGGTTCCAGGATTCCCCCTTGGATATCAAAATCTCCAAATGTTCAAGTCCCTTATATAAAATGTGGATATAACCCTATGCACAGGCCAGGTGCAGCAGCTCACACCTGTAATTTCAGCACTTTGGGAGGCCGATACGGGTGGATCACTCGAGGTCAGAAATCAAGTTCAAGACCAGCCTGCTGAAACCCCATCTCTACTAAAAATACAAAAATTAGCCGGGTATGGTGGTGGGCACCTGTAATCCCGGCTATTCAGGGGACTGAGGCAGGAGAATCACTTGACTCTGGGAGAAGGAGGTTGCAGTGACCCGAGGTGGTGCCACTACACTCCAGCCTGGTCAACAGAGACTCTGTCTCAAAAATAAAACAAGGCCAGGCGTGGTAGCTCACGCCTATAATCCCAGCACTTTGGGAGGCTGATGTGGGCAGATCACCTGAGGTTACGAGTTCAAGGCCAGCCTGGCCAACATGGTGAAACCCCGTCTCTACTAAAAACACAGACATTATCTGGGTGTGATGGTGCGTGTCTGTGATATAGTCAGGAGACTGAGGTGGGAGAATCGCTTGAACCCAGGAGGCGGAGGTTGCAGTGAGTGCAGATCATGTCACTGCACTCCAGCCTGGGCAACAGAGGGAGACTCTACGTCAAAAAAAAAAAAAAAAAAAAAAAAAAAAAAAAAAAAAAAAAAAAAAGAATCACATTTACCTCTCCCCAGAGGTAACTACTCAGTTATCCCTAGAGAATCACTAAGGCAGCGCATGTTTAGGTCTGAACTTTGACAGCACTGACACAATCTACCCTGGGCAGGTTCATGTACTATATTAACTCACGTGATCCTCAGCTCCAGCCAAGACTCACCTGTTGTACAGCAGAGCCTCTAGATTGGGAGGGACACTCAGCTTCTCCCCTTAATTCCCTGCTGTCCTCCTTAGCTTTCAAAGGGTATCAAAGCTTTCAACACATCTTCCCAAGTAGAGAAAAATGCCAATTTTCCTCTAATTCCACAGTCATTGCTGCCCTAATCCCAGACTCTCACCATGGCTGCATTGCCTGATATATTGCTGCAATATAGCAAACTCCAGGTAGTTACCCAAACAAGCCATGTGGTTAATGAAACCTACCCCCTCACTTATACATGTGACTCCCCCCTCTTGGAATGCCATTTCCACCCCCACAGGTCTAACCTCACTCCTCCTACTCACCCACATCTCAGAGAAGGCTGACCTCTAATCTCTCAGGAGCACCATGGTACCATGTGCTGATATGATATCCCTTTATTTTATCTACCATTGCATTTCACATACCACCACTTCCTGGCAAGTCCTTCTCACCTCCTAGGCTGAGAATTTTCACTTGTATCCCTAACCCCTGGGTCCAGAAAGAGAACTTAATGCTTATGACATGGATAAAGCCTGTGGGTAAGGCAGGCAAGCAGGCAGAGTCAAGGCTATCCAAAGCAGTTCAAGACAAGCAGCCCTACTGATAACTTCCAGAACCACGAAAATACACTCCCTCCTTCAGTGACCCAGCAGCACCTTTAGGAACTGAGGTCTTGTGGTGGGCAGCAGCATTCCTTGGTTTTCTAGACTTGCTCTAGCTAATCTCCAAGAGTTGACTGGGAAGAGTTCACCTCAGTCAGCCATGGGAGAAAACCACCACTGCTAACGCTTATTCTCCAGATGGTGTGTGGCTCTTAGTGGCTGCAAAACTGATTGCCTAGGGGGCATCTAAACTACAGGGAGGATTCCAGTTCCAGCCTATACCACCAATCCAAGATGGAGCTACCAGCAGAGGGGCTCATGGCCCACTATTCAAAAGACTAGGCCAGGGCTTGGGAAACACCACTTCCCTTAGCAGACCAGACACTGGGCTCCAGGAGACCCTCAGAACCCTTAGTTGTGTACCTCTGCTAAACGCGAGCCCACCATGCCCTTTTGCAACTGCACTGACTTTGAACCACCATGGGACCGTAAGCCATCTCAACCCTCAAGGAGGAATAGCAGGGACTCCATTTTTTGAGGATCCTGCCCTCTTTCCCAGAAAAGGTACTTAGAAAATGCTAACCCTCAAATGCTTTTTTCAAGACTTTAGCCTGGCCACACGGCTCACCCTTCTCACCCAATAGCAGTGGGTCTGAGAGTCTGCTCAGTCCCAGCCTCTTCGGCAGTGTGAAGTCCCCAATGAAGTCAATCCTTTAGCAGAAATGGGGTTCTGGGTCCCCACCCAGCTTCACAGGAGACATGCTCTCCCTCAATTTCAGCCCACGGCAGGGGGCCAAGCAGAAAACCCCAACACTCCAGGAACCCTGTCACCCTCCCCAACTGTCAGGGGAGATTCTGAACAGTCAGGTAGTCAGGATGGGGGTAAGATCCCCAAAGCCAAGGGCCTGTTGGCATCAAGGTCCAAGGAGGGCAAGGCCTTCTGGGGCCCAAACAACCCCACCATACTCAAGCTATTAGTGGACAGATGTCAGAGTTGTGTATTCTTCCTTCCCCTTGCCCCAAAAAGTGGGGATCCAGACCTAGAGGCTGGCTGTAGGCCTCTTAATTGCCGAGAGGGGGTGTCGGCGCTTAGTCTAGTCCAGCCCAGCCCAGCCCAGCCCAGCCCAGCCGAGGGTCAGCGGCGCCATCCTGCACCAACCCCCCAGCACAAGGGGAGGAGGCAACAACAGTCCACACCACAGGCTCTGCGGTTTCTCTCCCAGGCCAAGGGGAAGGGCGCCCAGGGTGGATAACCAGCCCTTGGTTTCCTGGGCGAGAACATGCAGGGAAGGCCAGGAAGGGTCTCTCAGCCCTGGAATGACGCAGCAGAGGCCAGAAGCCCTGGGAAGCCTGTCCCCTTCCACTCCAGTTCTCTCCGACAGCCTAGCTCATCGTCCCTATTCACTGATAGCTTTGAGGCTTTTATCCAGCACCCCACCCCGCGCACACATCCTCCTCATCATCCATGAGCCACCCAGCTGCTGGTGGTTCCAAGGGAGCCGTCTCACACTCCCTCCCTTTCGCACATAGCCAGTGGACAAGATGTGGTCGCCCCTCCTGGCAGGATCCACCCAGGCCAGCTTTGGGGTCCTGGCTTGGCTGCCAGGACAACCCCGGAGAGAGGAGGAGGAACTGAGTGTCTTCAGTCATGTCCTTCCAAACTAATTAACTTGTAGGCTCACCTCCGCCAAAGCCCAGGTTCTGGGACTGTGAAGAAAGCCCGCCCACACCCATGACAACAGCTCGAGTGAACCGAGGTGCCGACCGGCCGGCCCCCAAGGTCACGGGGAGGGGGTCGGGGTGGAAAGGGCAGTGGAGTGAGGGTGCCGCCTGCGGGTCGTGCTAGTCCCGCTCAGCTCTGTGCCGCCGAGACGCGGTACCGGCCACGCGGGAGGTGCGCCTCGGAGGAGGGCGATGAGCGAGTCCGGGGTAGGGAGCCAGGGGCGCGCTAGTAGCAGGCGTGGAACTGACGCAGCGCCGCTCGCCCACCGCGGGACGCCCGGACGGCGGCCGGCGCGCGGCCCGCCTCGAGCCGGAGAGGGCGGTGAGACAATGCCCGTCCGGCGGGACAGTCCAGGCCGCACGCCCCCGCCCACGGACACGGGCCGCTCCTCCCCGGGCCTCGGGCAGCGGCGGGAAGGCGCCGGGAGCGCTGGCCACCCTGGCCCAGCGCGGCGCCGCAGGCCCCGCTCACCCTCTCCCGCGCCCGCCTCGCGTGCGCTTCACCCTGCAAGTCCCGGGGCCACAGACCCACCTCCTCCTCCAGGGCGCCGCCGGAGCCCGCGCCGGAGCCGGTGCCGGTGCCGCCGCCGTGCTCGCTGTCCGGCTTCGGGTTGCTCATGGTGCGGGGGAGGGGGCGGCGGGAAGGAACGCTAGGGCGAGCGCCGCGCCGGCCCCGCGGGGAGTGGGAAGGCGCGCGGTGAGCGGTGCGCTCGCGGGTGCGGGGTGAGTGGGGAGGCCGGCGGGGTGGTGAGAGGGGCAGCCGTCGCGTCGGGCCAGGGTCACATCAAGTTTGGCGGGTGCGGGAGGTGGGGAGGGGGTGCGGAGGGGGAGGCAGTGGGAGCCGGAGAGGCCACCGCCTCCGCCTTTTCACTGCGACCGGCGAGTGCGCCCGCGGTGGCGGCGGCGGCGGCGGCGGGGGGCGGGCGCCGGGGGAGGGGGCGGGCGGCGGCGGGGGGCGGGGGCCGGAACCGGCCTCAGCTGGGGCTCGGCCAGCCCCCTCCCCCGCCTGCCGCGCGGTCTCCGGGGGAACGCACAGCCAATCCCCGGCGCCCACCGCGGGCTTGCCCTGGCCCGGGCCGCTGAGCGGCGGCCTCCGGCGGGGCCTTTCACCTCTCTCTCGCTTGGGTCAGCGCTCTCCCTCTCTCCTTTTCCTCCGCTCCCTTCTCCACCGCAAGTTTTTAAACTTTGATGAACTTGCGTAGAGAACTTTCTTAAAGGGGCCGCGCCCTGCGGGTTCCAGCCTGCAGGAAGTGGAGCCGGTGCCCGGCACCCCGCTCCCCGGTCCCTGGGCGGCCCCGCGCTTGGTGCGAAGTTTCCCGGCCATCGACCCCCCTCGTATCCTGATCTGGGGTTTTGAGGTGTCCGACACACTCATTCTGCCCCCAAACCCAGTCGCCCAGACCTCCTCCGCGCTATCCTCCACTCCCAACGCGGAGCCGGAGGCCGGGTTCTGGGGATGATGGCCGGGGGGAGTGGTTGGGAGACACCTGGGCTCTGGCCCTGGCTGAGCGCTGTTCTGCTGAGTGACCTTGAGAAAATCACTTCCCCTCTCTGGCCTCAGGCTCTCAGCCAAGAGGGTGGGACTTAGGATCTCAAACTCCCCACTCCCAGTCACTATCTGAATAGGACTTAGGGTGGGGAGTCGAGTGTTGGCATCCTGCTGGTCATTAGCAAGGGGTGCCTCGAATGACCAAGAAGGTTCTGTTGCCCACCTTCCCCCCAACACACCTGGCTTTCGGGTCTTCTCGCTCCTCCCTCGACTTCAGTGCCCCTCACACCTTTCCCTACCTCCTATCCCCGAGGGCTGGGGACTGGAGTAGCAGCCTCGAGGCTCGGGCAGGGTCGTGGTGACTACCTCCTCCCTCCGCAACAGGTCACTAGGGCGCGGCCTCTGGGTCGGTTTTCCCCTGCTTTTGAAAACCACGGAGTCCTGGCCCTGCCGCCACACTAGAAACCCGCACCCACCTCGGGGCGCGCTGGAAGCAACCCAGCTGAATCCCGCAGAGCCGTGGGAGAACTGGGTCCCTCCTCGATGCCCCTTGTCCTGGACTTGGACTGCGACTCCGGGGGTCCCTGCCAGGGGCGCCGTCGACCTTAGAAGCCACTGGCGAGAAGTGAGGGGAATCCTTCGGGACCCTGGCCTGGGTCGGGCGTCACTGAGTGTAATCTACCGCCCGGCGCTTAGTTTCTGTCCTGGCTTAACCCGCCAAGCTAAGTCTTAGCAGCTGGGTTTTAGTCTAGGGGAGGGGGTGGTGATCAAGCCTACAGAGAGATTGGACTGAGGCCTGGGGAGGTATCTGAGGATTACCAACGTTGAATCTAAGTTCCTACAGGCGGCAGTTCCCCTTCCTGGGGCCTGAGCCAAGTGTTGGCAACGGGGCTGGTGGGAAACCAAGGTGCTCTTGGCATTGCCACCAGCAGAAAGTGCTCCCCGGCCTGTAGGTACTCAATAATTATTTATTAAAGGAATGAGTATGTCATTGGAAAGACATTACCCATCTCTCTCTCCCCCTCTCCCCCCCCCCCTCTCTCTCTCTCTCTCTCTCTCTCTCTCTCTCTCTCTCTCTCGACGGAGTCTTGCTCTCTCACCCAGGCTGGAGGGCAGTGGCGCGATCTCAGCTCACTGTAACCTCCCCTTCTCAGTTCAAGCGATTCCCCTGCCTCAACTACTGGAGTAGCTGGGATTAGGGATTACAGGCACGTGTCACCACACCTGGCTAATTTTTTTGTATTTTTAGTAGAGATGGAGTTTCACCGTGTTGACCAGGATGGTCTCCATCTCTTGACCTTGTGATCCTCCCACTTTGGCCTCCCAAAGTGCTGGAATTACAGGTGTGAGCTACCATACCCAGCCTACATTTCTTCTTAAGTTCTTCATAATTCGTAATACTTGCTTAACCCTTATTTGATTGCCATTACTTATTTAACTTGTCTCTTGTTAGACATTTGTATTATTTCCAGTTTTTTTCTCTTTTGCCTTCTTAGGCAAACTTTATATGAGGATTCTTTTTTTCTTTTTTGAGACAGAGTTTCACTCTGTCACCCAGGCTTGAATGCAGTGCAGCCTCCATCTCCTGGGTTCAAGCAATTCTCGTTCCTTAGTCTCCTGAGTAGCCAGGATTACAGGAGTCTGCCATCACACTCAGCTAATTTTTGTATTTTTAGTAGGAAAAAGGTTTCACCATGTTGGCCAGGCTGGTCTCGAACTCCTGGCCTCAAATGATCTGCCCACCTCGGCCTCCCAAACTGCTGGGATTACAGGTGTGAGTTCAGGCTTTAGTATGAGGATTTTTTTTTCCCAGCTCCCTCCCTCCTATATGAGGATTCTTAATGCCTCAGAAAACTTCCTGTATGTGTGACCAGCCTTTAAGCACCTTGGAGGCAACATAGGGGTCCGCAGACCCCTATGGCCCCTGAAATGGTAGAATCTCAAATCTTACATGGATTTGGAGTTCATACAAACACAAAGCTCCCACCCAGCCCACACCTTCATGAGTAGTCATAAGTACCCATTGGCGCTGACCCAGGAACTGATGTGAGGGAGGCTGGAGAGAGGAGTTTGGGGTGTACAATTCTTCCAGACACCTGAAGGGTAGGAACTTATATCTCTGTCTCCCCAGCTATGATCTAGTAGTGCAGCCTCTAGTAATCTCTTCAGTGCCCCATGCCTCTCCCAGTGCCACTTTCCATATCACCTCTGAGCTTCTCAGATTTCATTCCTTTTGTCTAGAATCCTCCCCTTCTCACTCTCCACTCCCAGCTTCCAGACCTTCAGCAGCACCCATTCTCCTTCCCCTGTGCTCTCAGAGTACCTTCTCTGTGTCCTGTTGAGCCTGGGAAAACCTTGTCTTGAAGTCTCTCCTACCAAATGGGAAGCTTTCTGACTCCAAGGAATGGCTGTAACCCTGCTGAGTGAGTAGAACTCCTTCACTTTGACAGCCCCCTGGCCTCCAGCAAGGAGCAGATGATGGTGGGCATTTTCAGTAGTAGATGTCTGTTTGTTTATTTATTTATTTATTTATTTATTGAGACGTGGTTTCACTCTTGTTGCCCAGGCTGGAGTGCAGTGGCACAATCTCAGTTCACCGTAACCTCCACCTCCCCGGTTCAAGCGATTCTCATGCCTCAGCATCCCAAGTACCTGGGATTACAGTCATGTGCCACCATGCCCAGCTACTTTTGTATTTTTAGTAGAGAATGGGTTTCACCGTGTTGGTCAGGCTGGTCTTGAACACCCAACCTCAGGTGATCCCTCCACATTTCTGGGATTACAGGCTAGAGCCACCATGCCAGGCCAGTAGTAGGTGTTTAATTAGCCTTTGCTGAACCAGTACTGGGCTATTCCTGGGGCTTCTGGGCTATCTGAAGCCAGTGGCTCTTTCTCTTTGGTATACTAAACATACATCATTCTTAAATATTTCATCCTTAGGGTAAGGAAAAGAGATGGCCTCACTCCTGGAAAACAGTATCTTGGAACTCAACTCCTGAGGGTACGCCTGACTATTTCAGGGCAGGCCCCCATTCTGACCCCTACTTTCCCACCACCAGGAAAGCCTAGGCAATAAGAAGGCAGGTAGAAGCTGGGCTTGGTGGTGTGTACCTGTAGTCCCTGCCATTTGGGAGACTGAGGTGGGAGGATTAATTGAGCCCAGACTCAAGTCTAGACAGGGCAACATAGCAAGATCCCCTCTTTTTTTTTTTTTTTTTTTTGAGACGGAGTTTCGCTCTTGTTACCCAGGCTGGAGTGCAATGGCGCGATCTCGGCTCACCGCAACCTCCGCCTCCTGGGTTCAGGCAATTCTCCTGCCTCAGCCTCCTGAGTAGCTGGGATTACAGGCACGTGCCACCATGCCCAGCTAATTTTTTGTATTTTTAGTAGAGACGGGGTTTCACCATGTTGACCAGGATGGTCTCGATCTCTTGACCTCGTGATCCACCCGCCTCGGCCTCCCAAAGTGCTGGGATTACAGGCTTGAGCCACCGCGCCCGGCCTGCAAGATCCCCTCTTTATTGAAAAGAAAAAGAAGAAAGGCAGGTAGAAAGAATGACCTTGAGGCACAAAGGCTGAGATGTGTCTGAGGTTTATTTTCTTTTCCTTTTTCTTTTTCTTTTTTGAGTCAGGGTCTTGACCTGTCACCCAGGCTGGAATGGAGTGGCGCAATCTAGGCTCACTGCAACCTTCGCCTCCAGGTTCAAGCGATCCTCCTACCTCAGCCTCCCAAGTAGCTGGGATTACAGGAGCCCACTACCATGCCTGGCTAACTTTTTTTTTTTGAGATGGAGTCTTGCTCTGTCACCAGGCTGGAGCGCAGTGGCGCAATCTTGGCTCACTATAACCTCCGCCTCCCAGGTTCAAGCGATTCTTCCACCTCAGCCTCCCGAGTAGCTGGGACTATAGGCGCATGCCACCATGCCCAGCTAATTTCTGTATTTTTAGTAAAGATGGAATTTCACTATGTTGGCCAGGATGGTCTCGATCTCTTGACCTCATGATCTGCCTGCCTTGGCCTCCCAAAGTGCTGGGATTACAGGCCTCAGCCACCACTCCCAGCACTGGCTAACTATTTGGTATTTTTAGTAAGAGACAGGATTTCACCATGTTGGCCAGGCTGGTTTCGAATTCTTGACCTCAAGTGATCCGCCCACCTCAGCCTCCCAAAGTGCTAGGATTACAGACATGAGTTACCATGCCCAGCCATAATTTTTGTATTTTAGTAGAGATGGGGTTTTGCCACATTGCTCGGGCTGGGCTCAAACCCAACTCGGCCTCCCAAAGTGCTGGCATTACAGATGTGAGCCACCATGCCCAGCCATTTGAGGTATATTTTCCTGGTGCTTACAGATTTTGGTTTATTTATTTTGAGAGAGAATCTTGTTCTGTTGCCCA